GAAACGGGTATTGCTCCCTCATTGAGACCTCAGTCTCCCAGGTTTCCTCTTCGACTCGATCACTCCTCCAAAGAACCTTCACCATAGGAATCTCCTTGTTCCTCAGTTTCTTCACCTGTTGACCCACAATCTTTACCGGTTCCACCGCATATTGTAGGTCTTCACGTATCTCCACCGGTGGCTTCTCAAGAATATGAGATGGATCTCTCACGTATTTCTTGAGCATCGATATATGAAACACGTCGTGTATCTTCTCAAGTTCTGGCGTCAACTTGAGACGGTATGCCACGGCCCCTATCCTTTCAAGGATTTCAAATGGACCAATGTATCTGGGGTTAAGCTTTCCCCGCGATATAAATCGGATGATACCCTTCCAAGGGGAAATCCTTAGGAAGACCTTATCACCGACCTCGAACTCCAATGGCCTGCGTCGTTTGTCGGCATAACTCTTCTGCCGATCTTGGGCAGCCTTGAGTCTATCCTGAATGACCTTCACCTTAGCCTTGGTGATTTCCACAAGTTCAATCCCTTCGAGCTTGGCCTCGCCAACCTCGTCCCAACACAACGGTGTCCTGCATTTCCTCCCATACAATGCCTCATATGGAGGCATGCCAATACTCGCCTGATAACTATTGTTATAGGCGAACTCTACTAGAGCCAAATGTTTGTCCCAACTCCCCTGGAACTCCAAAGCACATGCCCTTAGCATATCTTCTAAAACCTGTATCACCCTCTCGGATTGCCCATCCGTCTGTGGATGAAAAGCTGTGCTAAACTTCAGTTTAGTACCCAAAGATGCTTGAAACTTGGGCCAAAATCGAGATGTGAATCGTGGATCCCTATCCGAGACAATGGATATCGGGACTCCATGTAGTCTCACAATCTCCTCCGTGTATAGCTTTGCCAATCTCTCAAGGGGATAAGTAATGTTGATAGGCAAAAAGTGTGCACTTTTGGTGAGCCTATCAACCACTACCCATACTGCATCATAGTTGTTCACTGTTCGTGGTAGCCCCACCACGAAGTCCATGGTCACATGCTCCCACTTCCATTCTGGAATGGTTAGTGGCTGCAAAAGCCCCGCCGGGTGCTGATGCTCTGCCTTAACTTGTTGGCAAGTAAGGCATCGACTCACGTACTCTGCGATATCCCTCTTCATACCCGACCACCAGTAACTTTCCTTCAAATCTCGGTACATTTTAGTACCTCCTGGATGCATAGCATATGCCGAAGAGTGAGCCTCCTCCAGGATAGACTTTTGGAGCTCTTCACTCTTTGGTATGCACACACGGTCTTTAAACAATAAAAGACCGTCATCACGTACCCGAAAGTTCTCCACGGGCCCTTCAAGGATCCTCTCGCGGATCTTCTGGCATTCCTCATCAGTGGCCTGACATCTACTGATCTCACTCAGCAATGTGGGCCTAACCTCGAATCTAGCAATGAGGACCCCACTCGTGGGCATCTCCACTTGTGCCCTCAAAGTTCGTAGACATGTGAGTAATGTCCCCGACGTACTTTTCCTGCTCAGTGCATCGGCCACTACATTTGCTTTTCCGGGATGATAGTCGATGATCAAGTCATAATCCTTGATCAACTCCATCCATCTCCTTTGTCTCATATTCAACTCCTTCTGAGTGAATACGTACTTCAAGCTCTTATGATCGGTAAAAATGTGACATGTCTCCCCATAGAGGTAATGCCTCCAAATCTTTAGTGCAAACACTACCGCCCCCAACTCTAGATCGTGGGTAGGGTAGTTCGCCTCATGTTTCTTCAATTGCCTAGAAGCATAGGCAATCACCCGACCGTTTTGCATCAGTACACATCCAAGCCCTTGGATGCTAGCATCACTGTAGATATCATACCCTATCCCCTGTATAGGTAGGGCTAGTACTGGTGCTTCGGTAAGTCGTTTCTTCAGTTCAAGGAACCCTTTCTCACACTTGTCGTCCCATATGAACTTGGCCCCTTTCTTTGTGAGCTTCGTTAATGGAGACGCCAATACGGAGAATTTTTCCACAAATTTACGATAGTATCCCGCTAAGCCAAGGAAACTACGTATCTCTTTCACATTCTTGGGTCTCTCCCAATCCATAATAGCTTTAATCTTGGCGTTGTCCACGGCAACGCCCGAACCGGATATGACATGACCGAGGAAACCAATCTCTTTGAGCCAAAACTCGCATTTTGAGAACTTGGCAAAGAGTTGCTTTTCCCTTAACCGATCAAGTACAAGCCTCAAATGGTGTTCGTGCTCCTCCTCGCTCTTGGAGTATATCAAGATGTCGTCAATGAATACTATCACGAATTGATCTAAGTATTCACTAAACACACGGTTCATCAAGTCCATGAATGCCGCCGGTGCGTTGGTTAAACCAAACGACATCACAAGGAATTCGTAATGACCATATCTAGTGCGAAATGCACTCTTAGGTATGTCACTCTCCTTGATCTTCAACTGATGATACCCCGACCTCAAGTCAATCTTCGAGAACACTATTGCCCCTCGAAGTTGGTCGAACAAGTCATCAATCCTCGGTAAGGGATACCTGTTCTTGATGGTGACCTTGTTCAACTGTCGGTAGTCAATACACATTCTTAGTGTACCATCTTTCTTCTTTACGAATAGTACGGGTGCTCCCCACGGTGAATGACTGGGTCTGATGAACCCGTTGTCCAATAGTTCTTGTAGTTGGACCTTCAACTCTTGAAGTTCGGCCGGTGCCATTCGATAAGGAGGAATCGAAATGGGTTTGGTTCCCGGTTCCACTTCGATTACAAATTCAATCTCTCTATCGGGTGGAAGCCCCGGTAGGTCCTTGGGAAAGACGTCCGGGTACTTGCACACGACTCGAACATCCTTGATGTCGACTTCTTTCTTCGTATCATCCACCACGTAAGCAAGGTATGCGTGGTACCCTTTTCTCATCATCTTCCGCGCTCTCATCACGGATATGATGCAAACATTTGATTTCCCCCGATCTCCTTCGAAACATAGCGTGTTTCCTTGCTCATCCTCGAGCTCCAACACCTTGGTGTAGCAATCTACTCGAGCATGGTGCTTCTCAAGCCAATCCATTCCTAGGATTGCATCGAACTCCAACATGCTTAGAGGTACGAAATCACAAGTCAAGGGTTGACCCGTCACTTCCACCTCACATGATGGATAGTAATGATTTCTCTCCACATCGTCCCCTAACGGTGTGGAGACTAGCAACGTTTGCGTCATAGGTGTCAACGGCACGTCAAGTCCCTCGGCGAACGCCTCACTCACAAATGAGCGTTGTGCCCCGGTATCGATGAGGATCCTCGCACACCTACCATTGATCTTTAATGTTCCTACATTTATACACCATGTAAGATACATTTTCTAATGTTTTTACACCTCTTTAGGAGGTTATTAAGTCAATACTAAGGTTTGGAATCAAACGGGGGTCCAAACGTAGAAGAACGGGGTGAAAAAATCAATTTTCGGGGGTTGGGGGTCCACGCACGGCGTGCCTGGGTGGCACGCACGACCGTGCGTGCAACGAACTAACTCTGCGTGCCACTGCCGGCCAGGCACGATGCCAGGCACGGCGTGCCTACGGCCGTGCCTGGCCAAAAATACTTCGGACGCTACTGCCTTCCAGGCACGACGCCAGGCACGGCGTGCCTGCGGCCGTGCCTGGCCCAAATTTTTTTTTTTTTTTTTTTTTTTTTTTTTTTTTTTTTTTTCCTTTTCTTCGGGTGCCACTGCCTTCCAGACACGGTGCCAGGCACGGCGTGCCTGCGACCGTGCCTGGCCAAAAAAATCTTCCGGTTGCCACTGCCTTCCAGGCACGATGCCAGGCACGGCGTGCCTGCGAGCGTGCCTGGCCGGCAGTGGCTGTTTCCAGCTGATTTGGCCTAACTTGCCCGGTTTTGACCCCGGGGTGGCCCGCACTCAATCCCTACGACGTATATGATCAATGCAAGCCTAGAAATACATGGGAATACGTGTATTACCTGCAACGGAGTCGGGATTGGCCCGAGCATCGGCCTCGGTCATTGCGTAGACTCTAGCTTGCGTCCTTCCTTGATTCACGGACGGCGCGTTGCTGGCGCTCGCTCCCCCCTGCCCCGTACTAGCATGGGGTGCTCCGGTCCGACTTCTACTTGCCGTAGTAGCGCCGCTTGATCCCGCCCCTCGGTTTCCACCAAGTTGAGGGCAATTTGGTTTAAGATGCCCCGTGTCTCCACATTGGTAGCACCGAGGAGGGTCACGACACTTACCGGCGTGGCTCCTGTTGCAATTTCGGCACCTGGGCGCTGTCGAGGCTTGTGAGCCCGAGTTGTGCCCGCCGAAAGCCGAGTTTCCCTTGGATGGCGGCGCCGGTGCCCTGAACGATCCGCCTCCCCCGTGGTTCCCCTTTTTGTTAGAACCTTGTGGGCCATGGCTTTCCCACTTCCTCTTCTTCGCCTCATCGGCGTTCCTCCGCTTTCTTTCCTCCCACTCCTTCTCTCCCTTCAGGCCTTGTTCAACCACTTGACTAAACGTCATATTAGGCAATTGTGTTGCCCTCTCGCGTATGTCAAGGTCTAAGGCATCCCAGAAGTGGTTCACCATCCGGTTCTCATCACATATGTACTCCGGTATGAATTCGGCAAGCTTTCTGAACTTGTGCTCAAGTTCCTTCACCGTACATGCGCCTCCCTGTGTCAAGTTCGTATACTCCCTCCTCTTCATGTTTACCTCGAAGTCGGAGTAGTATTGGTTGAAGAACTCCTGCCGAAAGTTCTCCCATGTGACGGCTTCGCCGTATTTCCCTTTGACCCCGTCCCACCACGTGGACGCCATGCCTTCGAGCAATCTTGTTGCCACTCTCAGTTTCATGATGGGTGGCAGCTGCATGTCAAGGGCCGCCTCGTTGAATCTTTTGATCCATTCGGCCGCAACGGAGATGTCTCCCGTTCCATCAAACGGTTTACACCCCAAATCTCGTGCTTCTTTGATAAATTTGGAGATCCTTATGGTTGGACCTCCCACATTTTGGCCTCCATGTGGTTCAACATGGACTCTAGAAGCACCTTGGCTTCCTCCTCTCGAAGCCATGCCCGAAGGTTGCCCCGTTCGGCGCCTTCGGCGTTGTCTCCTCTCTTCGCGCTCCCGGTGGTATTGTTGGAGCAGCGCCTCGATCCTCCCAAGAGTGCCATCGTCTTCACTCTCTTCACTTACATCGTCATCTTCCCCATCATATGGGGTTTCCACCGGCTCGGTTTCCGGCCTATAGGTTGAGTCCTCATAGGACCAATAAGTCTCACTCTCAGTGTCCACGTGGCCATCGCTCACGGTTTGTTGTTGGCCTCCACGGCCCCTTCCCCTGGACACCCTAGTGGACCCCCGACTGCCGCGTTCGGACCCACCCGGTACACGGCCCATCGGGTTCCTCCTCGTGATCCTTCCAATTGGCTCCATTTCTGAAAGAAGTTTAGAATGAGCCGTTAGACTCGTATCAAATGTCAAGTGACGGATAGGTACTTAGGGACATCTTTTGGCTCAAATCACCGCCATGCCAATTGTTAAGGGTACCATCTTAACAATTAGAGACTTTGCAACTCAAGTACCAAAAGTTCTATAAGTACAAAACTTTATGCTCATGGTTTCAAAATTATTTTTTTTTTTTTTCAAAAGGAATTTTGAAGCTTCATTATGAAGTTTACGGACTAAGGCTCTGATACCAATTAAATTGTCACGCCCCGGACCTACCGGACACGTCAACAACCCGCCGTACAGTACGAATAGTCAACCGCAGTCCAACTCATCCATACTATACTAGGCGTCTTGAATACCATTCACACATAGTACATCCATAAACAACATAATGTGAAATAATCATTTAAAGCAGCGGAAATGTTCAATACAAAGTGCACGCCACACTTTGGCAACATGGGCATACAAGCCCTAAATACATATTAAAGAAAAATAATATCCATGAGCATGGTTTAAATCGTTTTCAAAACAGAAACAGAAGAAGCACGAACCACGTCTTCTTCTCTTGAATTCTCCGATACAACGGCGGTAGCGGCAAGCTTTAATCCCGACCTGAAACTGTGAGGTGGCCTCCCCCGTGAAGGGGAGGTCAGTACTTGGAAGCATTTGACAAGTACAATGACAACTATACTAAGTATAATCAAAGTTTCAATTTCCAAGACCCTCAACTTAGGATGTTACTATTTGAAACTAATTTATGTTCCTTCATGCTAGAGCTCGGCTCATAGTCATGTTAATTTGTGCTAGAGCTCGGCTCATAGTCACACCACATTTCGCTAGAGCTCGGCTCATAGTCATTCCTACATTTTTGTGCTAGAGCTCGGCTCATAGTCACACTACATTTTGCTAGAGCTCGGCTCATAGTCATTCCTACATTTTTGTGCTAGAGCTCGGCTCATAGTCACACTACATTTTGCTAGAGCTCGGCTCATAGTCATTCCTACCACGTGCTAGAGCTCGGCTCGTAGTCACGTCATCTAATCCCTAAACCACTTCTTAGTCTAGGCTCCATTCCTTTTGAGTAACCCTTGAGGTCTACTCCTAACATAACTTGACTTCGTAAAGTCCACCCTAATTATCCTTTAAGGTTACTTAGCTTCAATATTTTGGGATTAGCTCCCAAGCACTATTGAACTAACATCCCCGACTAGTCTTCAATACTAGTCGTCTAATCTTAATAAGCCAACGCCAATTTCATAATAATTCATACATTTCAATTTGATTTCACATTCAAGTATAACTTGATTCAATATCAAAATATCACTTTTATTCCCTTCATGAGGTAAAAGCATATTTATCACCATACAATTTTATAGCTTACACCACAATTGGGTCATTATAATCACAACACATAATCATACACAATTTATTCTTAAATTTGTATATTATGCATTTTCTTTATGAACAATACTATATTCCATTTTAGGCATTCTTAATCATAAATAACTCATGCCAAACACATATAATTCATTTAGGAAATCTTATGAAATTAACCCAATAATTATAAACAATATAGTCGGTCATCCTCACCTTAAGTGAGCTTAAGCGCGTTCTACACTTCCCGGTTGAACTTTGGCGAACTTTGACCAACTCCGGCCAACTTTGACCAACTCCGGCGAAACTCCGGCGAAGCTCAAAGATACTTTAATCAAGTTCCTAACAAGGTTTTAACATCATAAAACCTTAATCAATACAAATAACCCCTAAAAGGTTATTTTCCGGTGAACCGGTCGTTTTGGCTTCTATGTCCGTTTTTGGACATAGAACCACCTCCCAACCCATTATTCCACACTCATAACATGTAGAACAATCCTAAGGGTTCTTCATATGACATATAACCCATATGATAATCAAGGAATAGAGGAAAGGTCATTATAAGGTCATTACCTTAATCCACCTAGTTTTTCCTCCCCTAAACCTTTCCTTTGGACCTCCTTGAGCTTTAGCTTGTCCTTGGCTATGGAAGATGCTATTTTTCTGGGATTTTCTCCTTCTCTTGAGGGTGTGGCCGAGTGGTGAAGAGGGAAGGGGGTGAGTATCCTCTTTTGTCTCAATAGAATGAGTGGTGTGGGGGAGAGACCCACCCTTTATTTTGTTTGATTCTTTTCCATTCACATCACACACCTCACTCATGCTCCTCCATCATCCCAGCCGACCAAGGCTTGAGAAAATGAGCCTAAATTCGTGGGTTGGCCCCCACCCATGTGGGAGGTCAACCCTTTTTGTCCCGAAGTGTACAATTTGTCCCGAAAGTTGTATTTTTCGGACAGTTATAAATATATTTTACCTCATCGGGTGAAATAAAATATATTATGTGTTTCCAATCATTATGACCCTTATAATGAATATACATTCCCCAACTTTAATTTATAAGCCTCCGAAATTCGTTTCGGGCTGTTATCTGCTAAATTACCGATACCGGTATTTCGGCCTTTTTGGTCAACCGGTCAACTCTATATCATTTCTTTGGACCAAATAAATTATCCACCATCATATAAATATTATATTGACCAAGATGAATAAAATATACGGTCTCGGGAATATCGGGCGGCCCCCGCTCCTGGTGTGGGTCCCACGTGCGAATTTATTATTTCTCGCAAAAGAATTATTAAAAATTCACCACTTCGTATATTCATTAACCATTACATAAGGTTCAATACATTATTCACTTAAAAGTAAGTACTTTTTGGGGACGGTGTTACACACTTCCAAACAGTTCATGGTTTAATTTTAGGTTTTTTAAATTCATTTTGAGCGAGATGCTCCGTCTGCTCTCTAGGTTAATACGCGTCTTCCTCCTCCAGCTCGCCTGAAGCCATTGCGGCAGCGATGCCGCCAGAGGAAGGTATCGGCCAGGTGACAACGCAGACGAGGAACTCCTACGCAGCGGTGGTAAGGGAGGATATCCCCGACCGACGATTGCACTATCAGCCGTGCTCCTTCTCTGAAGCGGGTGACCTGGGATCGTCTGGTAGATTCAGGGGCTTCCTATCGATTTCCTTCTCCGGTGACGATTTTCAGGTTCTATCCCACCCTTTCCGATTTGCTCTGATCTGAACTTTTCCTTTCGGACGCCCCCTATCCCTGCGATTTTTAAGGCTTTCGAAAGGTTAGGGGTTTTACAGAGTTATTCCATGGTTTTGCTTCACTCAAATATTATTTTGATTAATTTCCAGTCGGACCTTGATTTTCAAAAATTTTGGGAGAATAAATTATGGGATTTCTTTGGGTACCCGATGATGGTTACCCAATAGACACCCAACTTCTTCATTGAACGGGACTCACCCCTAGCCCCTGACTGGATCTCCCTTGATGGACTCCCAGTCGACCTTCACGAATTAAGAGCCCTTAATTCTGTTGTTAAGCTTATGGGAAAACCAGCCAGAATTGATACTCCTATTGCTCACTCCTCAAGACCATCTACAGCCAGGTTGTGTGTTAAACTGGATATTTCACTTGATCTCCCAAAAAAATCTTGATTGGCAACGGTTCTTTCGTGTTTTTCAGAAAATTGTTTATGAAATCCTACCTAAATTCTGTAAAATGTGCTCTTCGTTTGGCCACAATGCTACGGACTGCCCGGGGCCACCAAAGATTTACTGCCAAATCAACAGGTTGTGGTTGCAAATTCTTCTGCCCCTATTGTTGGCATAAAATCCGCAGTTGGTGTACCCAAGCCTATTTTTTATTCTGTTAAGGCCTCATAGGTTGTGTATGCTGATCATCGGGTTACCTTTGACTTTGATGCTTTGGAAACTGAATGTGCAGTTGAAATGCCTTCTGTTTCTTGTCCAATGGTTTCTGCCAGACCTTTACAGGCTCAGGCAATTTCTGATTGTGCAATTGACTTACATGTTATTGATGCTATTGTTAATGCCACACCTTTAGATGCCCATGGAGTTTCTTTTACTAATGTTACAGTCCCCAAAATTGTTGATAGTGCCAGACCTTTAAAGGCCCAGGTATTTTTTGAAATTGCAGCACCCATAACTGTGGTAGCCTGGGCAGTTTCTTCTATTGATGTTTCAGTCCCTGAAAATGATGCCAAGGTCCTTAATGTTGCGATTAATGTCATTGATGACTCTAATTGTGATATGAGTATAGCTGCCAAAATCCCAGTGAGTTTTTATTGCGATGAAACCGCGGTGGCCACCCTACACGGGGCGGTATTAGAGGATTTTCATCCATTGGTTACAGTCTCTAAAATTGCTAATTCTGCCAGACCTTTTGATGCACATGCAATTTATCTTCTTGATGTTGCAGTCCCTAAAATGGCTGATATTGCCAAACCTTTAAAGCTTGGGCATTTTCTGAATATGCAGCAGCCAAAACAGTGGAAGCCTAGGCGGTTTCTTCTGTTGATATTTCACTCCCCGAAAATGATGCTACTGTCCCTAATGTTGTGGTTTATGTCACTGCTATACTTGAATCAGGTTCCACTTCGTTAGTTACATCCCACACCGTGGCCCCTATTGACTCTAATTGTGATATGATTACCACTGTCAAACTCCCAGTGAGGCCTGATTGTGATGAAACCCCGGTGGCCACCCTACACGAGGCGATAACCGAGGATTTTCATCAATTGGTTACCTGTGATACTGGCAAGGATACATTAGAGACCCCACTTGGAAATGATGAGAACCTCTCTGATCCAACGCTTTGGTTGTGCAGCTACTACACTTGTCCCAATTCTGTCCAGTGATGATCTCTGAGGACACCTGAATGCTCAGTTTTTCTTTTCATATAGTTGAAGATCTTTTTTGGATCTTACACAATACTTGCCAGTTCACATCTTTTAAATATTACGTATTATTTCTCCAATATTTGGTCTAAGTTGGGATCTTTGATTGTTATACACCAACTCGTTTCTAATGAATGAATTGCATATATTGGTATCGAAGAAAATTGTATTTTTGCTACTGATGAATCCACTCGCACAACCATATCCTCCCAAGACATAATTGACACCACTCCCAAGGTTTGTTTAAGTTGTGATTTTTACCTGTCTCATTATTCATTTGCTATTGAGTTTTTTTGCTTGAGGCCTATGTGAATTATGTTGCTTCTCTTTCTTAGATGATAAATTTGTAGTTATATGTATAATTGTATGATTAAAAGTAAAATCTAGGGACAAAGAGTGAGTTTGACCTAATAGTTGTAGCCTTGTAAATTAAAAGTGGGATGATTTCTCTTGGAAATTACTCAGATAGTTAAGGGATGTTAAAATCACAATAAACTGAAAAGGCATTTCAAAGATGGTAGATTGTACGGAGTATGTTTTATTATATTTGGCATTTTAAATGAAAACAAATATAGATTGAATTAATGGTGTGATTAGATTGCAGATGGATGACTTGTCACAAAGTGACTAATCGGTTTTTGTTTTGGCAGTGACTAACCTTCCCTGGGAGTTAGATGCCACCTACTTCGGCATCTTGAGCAGCGGATAATTTTCTAAACCAATAATCTATACTATGGTGGCGAAAACTTAGTTGTTTTAAAGTTCTTTGATTAACTATTTCTAACCGGTTGTAGTTTTCCTATCATAGATTGAAATAAGGAATTTCATCATATACTATTGTGCTCATAACTTATTTTAACTTATTTTTATCACCTAAGTTCTAATGGTTATGTGTTTTTTCTTCTCTATTTGGTGGTCTTAGGGAAAAACTATCAAGTTAGTTGGGTCAAAAAACATCTATGACATGGTAAGGATTCTGCGTGTTTATTTATTTTACTTTTGATAATAACCAAGACATGTTTTCTTTTTAATAACTATAGCCCATTGCATTCTTAATTTTCACTAGACCATGGAAGAATACCGGAATGAAACAATGTCAAGGTGAATTGGTTCTTTCTACAATCATTTTTTAGAACTCTTGAAATGTTCTTATCTAGAAATGTGAATAGTGATAGGCTTTTCACATATACTTGTAGGAAGATACTCCAGAAATCATGCAAGGATTGTTATTCTCTTGCTTCCATAAGGTTTTTCAATTCACATTTGCTGATGATTTGCTTCCATAAGGTTTTTCAGTTCACATTTGCTTCCATAAAATGAGAATTATGCACTTGTATAAGAATGACATGCATCAATGCTGATGTACTTGTTGATTACTAGAATTGCAAAGTTAACTATGCAGGCTATGTTCAACCAGATTTTGATAAAGACTTACTTTATTGGATGCTGGATGCGGATGGTGATGTGAGGAATAATGACGTCTACGAGTACAAATAAAAATGTTGGATAGTTAAAGTGTAGATTTATGGCATATTGTAATATACTTTATTGCTATTGACAAGTGATAAATACAAATGTTGACCATTTTTTGATTATTTATTAATATTTCTATAATGTAATAATAGAATTAGTAAGAATAATATAATGATTATTATAATATTTTTATCATATTTATATGACATCAATGTGTCACAAGTTCTAATGATACCAATGTGTCACAACTTCTAATGATAGCAATGTGTCACAAATTCTAATGATACCAATGTGTCATAATCCTGTAGCACATTAATGTGTCACAATTTACTGACACTATAATGTTTTACGATCAGTGATACTATATTTAGAGGCCGTTTGGTAGCCATGTTTTTCGGCTTATCAGGCTTATCAGCCAACTTTTTCACCAAACACGCAATTTTTGCTTGCGCGAACTAAATTGTGTAATAAGCAGAAAAAGTAAGGTTGAAGTTACTTTTCTGGCTGTATTGGCTGAAGTTACTGTAGATGACCATTTTAGCTATTTTTACATATAATTTTTTGTTTATTTTATTAATAAAATATATTTTAAAAATATTTTTTTTTCTTAAATCAGCTGAATCAGTCAATGTAGCCACTTCAGCCAGAACTACATAAATTTCAGCAAAATCAGTCAAAACAGCCGATTTTGGTGCTACCAAACAGACTCTTAGTGTCGCTGGCCGCCACATTTCCCGCCACTTTTACTGACACTATAAACACTTTTTCTACTAGTGGCATGCATTTGATTATTCAGAGGTGAGTTATTTTGATCAAATTCTCAACAGATATGTACGAGCTCATCCAAAAAAAAAACAGATATGTACGAGAAAATAAGTTGAGTTTCAAAGCGGAAGCTTTTCTGGAACGGCGTGTTCGTCCAATTTTTAACAGC